GTGGAAGCGGCTTTAGATTCTCAGTGCTGTGCTTTAACCCGCTGCACCACCAGGGAGGGCCCAACATATATTTTTTAAAGATTTATTTATGTTTACAGAACTGGGTACAGGCCAGAGGTGCAGGGGTGGTGAAAGGATCCACCAGAGACACAGTAGGGGTTAGAATAGGCAGATCAATGAAGTACACTGCTGAGGGGAGCAGCGGTTGGGTTAGGAGAGGTCTGCCATGCCATGTGGGTCAGCTCCCTGGCCAGGTTTCGAACTTGTGCCGCAGTGGCTTTGTACAGCTTTATAATGTGGTGCTTTAACCCGTTGCGCCACCAGGGAGAACCCGTTTTAACATTTTAATCACGATTGTTTTTCTTTTCAGGGCAGACACAAGTCCATAGAGACTGCAGGGCAGTAAGTGACACTGTGTTGTATTAAAACCACACTTAACCCTCAAAGCTGGTACATGGCCCAAACCAACTGTTCCTTATGTAATTCCAAAGGCCCCTCTTGGTGCCGGCTGCCAACAGGCCCTGTCAGACCCGTCCCACTGGCTTGCTAGAAAGACTGGCAAAGTCCATATGCTCGCATGATTCCAGATGAGCTGTCAAACCAACACCCTACAACATTTGGTCTGTATTTTTCCTTTTAAAAGCTAAACATCAGGAAGCAATACATTCAGGATTTTTATGGAAAAGGAGTGGGTTATTTCTTCCTTAAGCTATTTTGATTAAAGTGAAGGTTGCAGATACATTTAAAGCTTCCGTGGGAGATGAAAGATTATGGCTCAATTCCACTTTCCCTGTTCTCTATGCCATGCCTCCTCTTGATGCTTTTCAGTCAGGCATCTATCCCCACTTAACCAACAACTTCCAAGATTACCAAAACTCTCAAAGGAGGAGCTGGACACTTAAGTGTGTCGAGCTGGTTTTGAATTAAGATTCTTAATCTGCAATCCTTGAAGAGCTCCTGAATGCCTCTGATAACATTATGTGTTATCATACACACACATTATATATATAAATACATATGTTACAGATAAGTACACATTAGCTTTTTTCTGAGAAAAAATTATATAAGATCTCAAATGATTAAGAACTTCTAGGCTAGAAGTGAAAATGGACGGTACCAAATGGCCTGAGGAAAGCATCAGGAGTCTCATCTTCCCAAGTAGAAATGAGAATTAATTTATTATCCTACGTTTAGAACCTTTATTATGGTTCTAAGTCTTCATTGTGTTTTTAGGTTAGATTTTCATTTATTTTGCCGTTTTGGTGGGTTAAATATGAACTGAGGCTTTCACACATCAGAATTGTGTCAACTGAAAAAGCCATTGGTAGTGGGGCCCAGCGGGTTAAAGCACAGCACTAAGAACTAAAGCCACTTTCGCATGAGTTCGATCCCTGCCTGCCCTGAAGGTGACCACATGGTACGGCAGACTCTCCTGACCCGCCCGCTGCTCCCCTCAGCAGTGTACTTC